ATATATATATATGTATATATATACATATATATATACATATATATATATGTATATATATACCTAAAAATGTGGAGGTGGCTTTGGAACTGGGTAATTGATAAAAGTTGGAAGAGTTTTGGAGTGCATGCTAGAGAAAGCCTATACTGGTATGAACAGATTGTAAAGGGCATATCTGGTGGAGGCTCAGAACAAAAAGAGAGCTGTACAGAAACCCTAAATGTACTAGAGATTACCTAAAAGGCAGTGAACAGAATACTGGTAGAAATATGAACATTAAAGGCTATTCTGATAAGGTTTCAGATGGAAATGTGGAACAAATTATTGGAAACTGCAGGAAAGGCAATTATTGTTTTAGAGTGGCAAATAATTTGACTGATTGTGTTTGTGCCCTGGTGTTTTGTGGAAGGAGAAACTTGTGAGTGATGAAATAGGATATTTGGCAGAAGAAATATCTAAGAAAAATGTTGAAGGAGCAGCATGGCTTCTCTTGACTACTTATAGTGAAATGTAAGAAGAGAGAGGTATTTTAGGGACATAACTTACAAGCAAAAGGGAAGCAGAACTTAAAGATTTGGAAAATTCTCAGCCTTCTCAGCCTATCTTATAAGAAACGAGAAAGAATGTTTGAAAGACTGCATCAAGGCTGTGGATGAAGAGATCATTATTGGCCATCCCTGTGCTATTCATGAAGACAATTGAAGAGTTATCCTGAAGGCATTTTGGAGATCTTTAGGGCTGCCTTTCTCATCACAGAGTCAAAGTTCCAAAATATTGAGAACAGAATGATTTCAAAGGAGAGGTACAGAGTGCCTGTGGAACCACAGGGCTCACTGCCAAGCACCGATTCAAGTCTCTGTTCACTGAATTCAGGTGTAGGGCTCGCTGCCCAGCCACCCCAGGTGTGGCTTCAGTGGGCTCAGGTGTGGTGTGAGCCACAGTAGCTGTCCTTCTAGGGCGAAGAGGTGATAAAACTTGGCCACATACACATGGTGCAAACTTTTCTAGTGCACATAGTACAAGAGCTGCGGGGGTATATTTGCTTCCACCTAGGTTTCAAAAGGTGCCCTAGAGAGCCTCAGGCCCCAGACAGAGAATATCCACAGAGGTGGGCTTACTGCAGAGCTTCCCAACTAGGGCAATGTCTAATGGAGCTGTAGGGGCAGGGTCACCACAGACCCTTACTTCAACAGTATCTAGTGGAGCAGTGGGTAGTGGAGCCCCCTCCAAAACTCCAAAATAGTAGAGCCACCAGCATGCAACTTTAGCCTAGAAGAGCCACAGACACCTGACATCAACTAGGCAAACCAAGGGAATAGACTGCCTGTAGTCTTAGGAACCACATCCTACTCCAATTTGTCTGGAAAGCAAGACATAGAGTTAAAGACAAGACATATTCTCAAGTTTTAAGATTTAATGTTATTTGCTTTGCTAAATTTTGAACCTACTTGAAATATTACCCCTTTTTCTTTTCTATTTCTCCCTTTTGGAATGAGATTGTCTATCCTAGGACTGTCCCTTGTTCCACAGTTATATTTTGGAAGCAAATAACTTGTTTGATTTCAGAGGTTCCAGCTGGAGAACAAATTGTGTCAGGATGAATCATACCTTGAGTGCCACCCAAATCTGATTTAGATGATATTTAGATAAAACTCTGGACTTTAGACTTTGGAGTTAATATTGAAATGAGTTAAGATGTTGGAGTGTTGGGATGGAATAAATGTATTTTGCACGTGAGAAGGACATGAACTTGGGATGTTCAATTATGGAATTGCTATGGTCTGAATGTGTCCTCCCAAATTCATATGTTAAAACCTAATCCCTCATCTCCCAAGAGATAAGGCCTTTTGGAGATGACTAGGTCATGAGGACTCTGCCATCATGAACAGGATTAGTTCCATTATAAAAGATGCCTGAGAGAGTTTGTTCAACCCATCTTTTTCTACCATATAAGGATGCAACAAGAAGGCACTATCTCTAAAATGGTGCTTACCAGATACTGAATCTGCTGGTGCTTTGATCTTGGACTTCCCAGCCTCTAGACCTGGTAGCAATAAATTTATGTTGTTGATAAATTACTTAGTGTAAGGTATTTTATGATAGCAGCCTGAATGAACCAAGATACCCTCTAAGAATATGTAACCTACATTAATGGCAAGAAGGTTGCCTGCCTCTTATAGTCACGTATCCCACTTTCTGAAATAGTGCTTAATGCATACCTGATACTCAATAAATTGATAGGTAAATGGATGAAAGATTAAATGAATGAGTAAATGTCATTATCTTTGGCAGAGGGCATTTAGCACATTAACTTATGTAGTTCCATGGAACAGTTTCATGGGCTGCATTTTGAGGCTTCAATTTTTTAAAACCTCTTCAAGATAACTGTTTCTTATTCATGTCATGCAATATTAATTGTTGTGGCAGGAACATTTAATCAAATTCTCAGTAGCCTCCTCTCCTATGGGCAAAAATAAGTACTTTCCTTCTTTGTGTCTTCTCATGTTTTCAGGCTGTGCTATCATGGGTTTTCTGACATCAGAAATCTCAGAGAATCTTATCACATAGCTCCTTACTGGCAGTGACCATTTGTCAATACACCCCAAAGGAAGATACTGTGTAAGAACCATAAGCACCTTGCATTCTTTTCCTCAGGAGACTAATTCCTGAATTGTGCACGAAAGAGTGTTAAATCACTACAAATGGGAAATCTGTTTAGGAATTTTGTGTGTTCTGCAATTAAAGCTTCTTTTTTAAGTCTTTTTTCCTATGTGATTTCTATCCAATATTTACTGAAGAAGAAAAAGTGCTTAGAAAATGAATACAACAAATCTGAATGATCTTCCCTTTGTCATCAAAATAAATGTTTATTCTTTTGCAATTTCCTTTCAGGAATTTTTTTTTTTTTTTTTTTTTTACTTTGAAAATGAAATAGTGATGAATAAGCCTAATAGAAATTGAGAATAGGAGGTAAAAATTTTTTTGGAATGAGTGGGTTTACTGCTTTAAAATATAACGTTTAGAATAATTTATAAATTCCACTCCTGGACAGGGAGAGAACAATGCTGTGACTCATGCATATTTTTCCTAATATCTGTCTCTAACAAATGGCTTGTTTGTTTGTTTGATGACCTTTGCTGAGAGCCTTTGATAATAAGGTTAAGAATTAAGACATCATCAGACAGTGGTGCACAGATGGGCTTTAGCGGATACTTCAGAAAAATAGTATCTTCATCCTCCAGCTATTTATCCATAAATCCAGGCCACCTTTCTGTTTTACAAATAACTTACTTTTTAATGCTACTGCTACTTTTTGCCATGATTAAAAATTGTCCTGCTAATCCTGTCCTCTGAGTAATTGTATAAATAAAAGGCACGAGGTGAAGGGACTGAAATCTCATAAGGACAATAGCTTCCCCAGATAAAACATGCTGAGTTTTTTAAGGGTCACTTTAAGTTTCTGGTAAGCTTCTTTACATTGTACCACCACAAGTTTGAAAATGAATTAGCTGCTGCATTGAGTCACCTCAGGAAATTAAGTTTCTGTGTTTGTGCTATCTCTGGGACATGAGCAATAGGATTCATTTTAGTCAGATGGAAACTATACTACCAGAAATAAGGTTCTCCGTACCATTTCCCCCCCTCCCCCCGAGCTGTTTCAGGTGGTCAAAAATAACTAATAAACCAGGGAAGAAAATAAAACTACTAATATCACCCAAGGCTGTAAAGAAATTAGAGGAAATTATCAAATTGGTCAGCAAGACTGAAAACAAATGTTTGAACCTGTCCACTCTCAATTTTGTGTGTGTATGAATGCGTGTGTGCATGTGTGTGTACTGAATATTTCTATCATATGTGCAAATTTGATCTTTGAAAGAGGCAGAATCACCAAAAATCTTTATGATTTGTATTTAGAAATTCCAGTTTAGAGTGTCCTACCCTTTTCCAAATCTCTATCAACCTATACCCTTAGTTGTGTGGCATCATTTTAACATGTGAAAAACTTTTAATTCTGCTCTTGTACTTCAGGATTAAAATGCAAAAACAGATTGATTTAGGCTGAGATAATAATATAAAATATTCTACATTAATATTAAAGACACTTGAGGATAAATCATTTCACATGTGTTCAGTGACAATTACATGATGAATATATTAACAGTAGTGTTTTCTTATTTTGCACTGATGATTCTAAGATGAGAGGTTAAGCAAGTTTTCTAAGATCACAGAGTCAGAATTATTGGAACAGAAAATCAAAGCTAGACCTATTTGCACTACGATGGCCCTGGGCCTTATATTATTGCTTTGTTTTGCATAGATAGAAAATATGGAACAACTGCTGGGGGAAGAAGAGAGAAGAGAATTAAAGGTGAGCTTTTGATGCTTTACAATTTTAAATAAATGTTGTTATTAATTGAAGCTGTAATTATATATTCTTGGCAAATATTGGATATTTTAAGAAGTCTTAGGAACTCTTTAACATGATATGTATAATTGATCATTGATATGTTGCTATATATGATATATAATATATATCATCATATGAAATGTGGTATATATCATATGTTATCAATGATATATATATATATATATATATATATAATTTATTTAAAATAGCTGAGGATATGTGTTCCATTGAGAGATAAAGTTTATAAGCTATAAATTTTCTTTCAGATTTTAGTGCAACATGTTACACAAGATGGGCCCAAACATAGTTGACTTTTTATTTTCAGAAGAGCTTAATACATACTTTTGAATATTGTAAGTGCTCAATAGTTCACTCTTTTTCACCAACTGTTGCCTTGTACACACATATATTTTCATATATTATTTTAGTAATTTATTTAGTAGTGTGTTTGTATACACATATGCAATTTTCTAACCCATTGTAAGATAGTTCCTCACTAGTTTGTCTATACCTGATGTCAGAGGTCAGGTTATATCCTTCTCATTGGTGTTTCCTCTCTCATTTTATTTTCCTTTTGAATCCTTATCACACTTGTCATTAAAGTCATTTTCTGGAAAATAAGACCATGACTGTCTTGTTCACTGTCATATCATCAGCCTCTAATGAAAGAAGTGATATATAGTAGGAATTTAAGAAGTATTTAATGAATTGAATTGGTATTAAAATGAAGTATTTCTCTTGTAGACGGTAACTGTCCCTGGGATGAGAGATACATTAAGTCATGGTTAATTAAAACTATACATATATACATATATATTTATATAATATTGAATATATAAATATATATACACACATATATATTTGTGTGTATATATATGTGTGTATGTATATATATATTTATATATTCAATGTTATATAAATATATGTATATATATACACACATATATATATATTTGGATGGAGTCTTGCTCTGTCCCCCAGGCTGGAGTGCAGTGGTACAATCTCAACTCACCACAACCTCTGCCTCCCGGGTTCAAGTGATTCTCCTGCCTCTGCCTCCTGAGTAACTGGTATTACAGGCGCCTACAATTGCACCCAGCTAATTTTTGTAATTTTAGTAGAGATGGGGTTTCACCATGTTGGCCAGGCTTGTTTCGAACTCCTGACGTCAGGTGATCTGCCTGTCTGGAGCCTCCCAAAGTGCTGGGATTACAGGCATGAGCCACCAATCTCGGCCTGTATTTTCAAACAATATCCTGGAAGCCAATGTTGAACAAGTAAGTGATCTATAAATGATATAAAGATGTTTCAGAAAGTAAGTTGCTGAAATTCCAGTTTTGCTTAGGACTAACTTGTGCTTATAATGCTATTTATTCTCTTAGAAAATATTTTTGAGCACCAAATACCTTCCTGGCATTTTGTTAGTGGTAGGAATCGAGAGAAAAATAAGATAGACTAATTAAGGGATTTAATTCTTCAGGCAGATCAGAAAACCTCTGTGAACATGCATATTACTTAGACCAGAGGTCTCCACAGTTTGGGTTATGTATACTCATGGAGTATTTAGAAAAAGCCTGGGTCTCTTTACATATTTAAAAATTGCCATTAAGATTTTGTCATATGTTTAAAAACAGTAAATAATGTTATTTCAGGCATATTTTAAATGTTAACACTTAAAAAATAAAAAGTATTACATAGAACCTTTACCTTTATAATTTCAGTAGACTCTAAATACCATAGCACTTAAACAAATTTTTTAAATTTAATTTTAAGTTCCAGGATACAAGTTCAGGACATGCAAGTTTGTTACATAGATAAACATGTACCATTGGTAGTTTGCTGCACCTATCAATCCATCACCTAAGTATTAAGCTTCACATACATTAACTATTTATCCTGATAGTCTTCCTCCACCGCCGCACTACAACAGGCCCTAGTGTGTGTTATTTTCCTCCTTATTCATGTATTCTCATTGTTCAGCTCCTACTTATAAGTGAGAATGAGTGGTGTTTGGTTTTCTGTTCCTTCATTCATTGCTAAGGATAATGCCTTCCAGCTCCATCCATGTCCCTGCAAATGACATGATCTTGTTCCTTCTTATGGCTCCATAGTATTCCATGTTGTGGGTATGTATCACATTTTCTTTATCCAGTCTTTCATTGATGGGCATTTGGGCTGATTCCATGTCTTTGCTATTGTGAATAGTGCTGTAGTGAAAATATGCATGCATGTATCTTTGTAATAGAATGATTTATATTCCTTTATACACCAAGCAATGGGATTACCACAACACTTTTATATGCACAACTAGCCATTTAAAAATTCATTAGAAAACTCTTCTTTCAATAAAAGTGTTAAATAATTTCTTTCATTTCTTAAATTTTATTGACATTTCATTTGCCTTAGATAATTTTATAATAAAGTAATATACATTTATATTTATTTTTTGTGTTAGGGTCTTGCTATGTTGCTCTAGCTAGAGTACAGTGGCATGATCATGGCTTACTGTAGCCTCAACCTCCAAGGCTCAAGCAATCCTACCATCTCAGCCTCCCAAGTAGCTGAGACGTTAGATACACACCATCGCGGTCAGCTAATTGTTAAATTTTTAGTAAAGATGGGTTCTTACTTTATGCCAAGCTGGTCTAGATCTCCTGGACTGAAGCAATCTGTCCAGCTCAGCCTCCTTAAGTCCTAGTATTACCTATGACCCCAAGATTCTGAGTGCTAATTAGTTTCTCCTGAACTGAGTTATATTTGTAATTATAATTAATACACAATTGATCAAATTAACATATATATATATAAATCTTGACAAGTATAAATGTATAAAATAAAATTTTAAATTTATATAATGTAAAGTAAAATATTTGTTATAAATGCAACTATTAATTTTTAAAAGGGACTATATTTTTCACATAGTTCATATGCTCAAAAATAATTTTTTTCTTAGCCATAATTAAAAAATAAAAAACATAATAAATGTTAGCATGAATATGATGAAAAGAGAACATTTTTAGACTGCTGGTAGGAATGTGAATTAATACATCCACTGTGAAAAGCAGTAGGGAGATTCCTCAAAGGACTAAAAGTAGAACTACTATTAAAATTCCCCAAAGTAGAACTACCAGCAATTCCATTACTGGATATCTACTCAAAGGAAAATAAAGCATTATATGAAAAAGACAAATGTATATGCATGTTATGGCAGCACAATTTACAATAGCAAAAATATGGATCAAGCCTAAATGTCCATCAATCAAAGAGTGGATAAAGAAAACGTATGTAGTATATGTACACCATAGAATACTACTCAGCCATAAAATGGAATGGAAATAATAGCCTTTGCAGCAACTTGGATGGAATTGGAAGCCATTATTCAAAGTAAAGGAACTCAAAAATTGAAAACCAATTGTTGTATGTTTTCATTTATAAGTGGGAGCCAAGCTATAGGATGCAAAGGCCTAAGAATGATATAATGAACTTTGGGGACTTGGGGGCATAAAGGGAGGGAAATGAGAGATAAAAGACTATATATTGGGTACAGTGTATACTGCTTATATGATGGGTGCACCAGGATCTCATAAATCTCCACTAAAGAACTTATCTGTGTAACCTAAAACCACTGGTTCCCTAAAGCTATTAAAATAAATTTTAAAAATGATCCTTTTAAAATGTTATAAGACAGGATTGAAAATCCTTTCTTTCATTTTTTAAAAATAGATGAACATATTATGTTTTCTACTTAACTTAGGAAATTATACATACATCACATATTTTTCTGAATGACTTTTAAGTTGTTATTTTTGATACTGTATCAGCTGATGATTCAATTATGTCTTGCATATTTGATGCAAGCAAAGAGTAGAATACAATATGACTTACAAATGACACCCTGAATGTAGACTCAACCTCTTTTTTAATTTCTGGAAAGAATATCAAAAATTCACCAAAAATTATTCACCAGCAGTTGTCATTTTACTTCATAACATAGAGGCACCTTGTTTAACCTGATTTACTCAGGAAAGGTTAGAAAAATCCAAATATTGTTAGTTTCAACATAACTTTGCTAATAAAATAGTTTTGGTAAGAATATTTTAAATGTTTTGAATGAGTTATTATCAAACCTTTGGAGTTACTGATTTTGTTTATTTAATTTATGGGAAATATTTGCTATAAATCCTCATTGGAAAAGTCAGTTCTCTTTGTGAACTCACCAATCAAAATTACTTCTTATTATTAAAATTCTAACTTCATTTCTCATTTTAAATAGACATATTAATGTGTTTCCTGTGACAATCATCTTGAGTCTGAATTCTAACTCTAAGATGAATAGATGGAGGAGGTCTAAACTTTTTCTTTAGTAGGTTGTACCATAGATGAAATAAGGTTCCATTGCTTTTAATGTTTCTCACCAACATTCCTTCTGTTTTTTATTCATAAGATTGTCCCACAGGAGAAATGCATGAAAAAAGTTGGAAAAGAGAAATTGAATTACATCCTAATTGTAGTATTTTCTGGAGCAGATCAATTTTAGAAAGAGAACATTGACTTGGAGAACTGAAGAGTAATTATTCTAAAATGGTTGTAAAGTTTACTCCTTTTATCTTTGCAAACTTCCAGGATAAGTGACTTGCATAAAGTCACATAATTTATTGGGTTGGTTCAAAAGTAATTGTCGTTTTTGCCATTAACGAAACCACAATTACTTTTGCATCATCCTAATATAAATGAATAAATTAATATTAGAACACAGGTCTAATTAAAAGGTTCTGCCATGTTGTGTTCTGTGAAACACAGAAAACAATCAAATGGATAACTACGGAAAAATTTTGGATATAAGATTAGGAGATAATTGTCTCCCTCCTTTCCTCCCATCCTTCCTTGCTTCCTTTGCTTTCTTATTTTTCTTTCTTTTTTATTTCTTTCTCTCTCTCTCTCTCTCTTTTTTTGCAACGTGCAGTCTAAAAGGAAAGTTAAAAGGCAGACATAGCATGAAGCCTAATTGCAAGATTTTTTTCAAACATATTAACTTTAGGAAATAACGTCTGAATTTAAATCCCTTAAAATTCTCTACATCTTTGTTTCCAAGTCTCTGTATATCTGCAGGGATGTGTACAATCTAAACTGCACATGCTTGATCTAAAAACATCTGGAAGTAACACCTGGGGCAAAGCAAGATGTCCACCATAGTCTTCTAGAGTAGCCTGCCATCACTAACTCAGAGATGGCGGGCTAATTTTGATAGAAGAAGCAGAGGTCGTGGTCAAGAGGAAGGTGACTCATTGTCATTGTATCAGCAGGCCTTGATGATTGGAAATATCAGGGGACACAGCCTGAAAAAGAAAGGCTTAATTGGAATCTATAATGGGATCTTGGCAATCAGTATGTATGCACTGAGGTGAAAATGGTATGCTATAATCTACCATACACTGTATGTGAAACCAGGCTCCAAATTTTCCAGCCCATACAATGCCCCATGAAGTTTTTCTTATTACCTTTTAATTGCAATTTAAATGCATTCTAGAAAAAAAAATGAAAGAAAAAGTAACTAAAGAAAAGTGGAAATGTAAAACTTTGTGTTTATTAATCTTAAAATATATTTTGATCAACTTGCTATTCTTAAAATTGATCGATCTTCCCTCCTTTGCCTTTTCCATGGATTATAGGATTATTTCCAGGGATGAGTGGTTGGTGTTGCATTTGGCTACTATGCTTAATGCTGTTTGGCTTCTATGTTTAAGCATTGAATAAAAATCTTCATATTTCTCAGTGTGTGTTTAAACTGAGATGACATCCTAAGCCTCTTCATTACCTTAACTTCTCCAGAAGCAACAAATAGAGATGCCAATAGCATATGTTACTTCTCAGCCATATCCTATAGGCTTTTTTCCAACATCTTTTTCCACAGTTGCCCCTTTTCTGAATCCCTTGAAAGCAATCAAACAACAAAACAATGTGTAATAAAAGATTTTTTTTAACTTTCATTTATGCACTGAGATTTATGTGATTTTGATAAATAACTAAATAAAAAGACAAATGGGAGTGGTGCTCTCATGAAAAGCCCATGCCTCTGCCCATGGACTATATGTGGCTTGGCCTGGAGTACTTATTTTATTTAGAGACTTCTAAGCAGAATAATTCAAGAATGTCTCTTACTTCAGGTCTTGCAACTTGGACAGCTAACAAAAAGGAAGCTAACAAATAAATTTGTCAGAACATGATTCTCAGTTTCACTTATTTCGAATTAAAGGTAAGTTGGATAATAAATTAGGAAAACAGCCTGTAATCAGACGAGTGACCCCAGTGAGACCCTGTCATTAAAACTTTAGTGTTGAGCCTGCAAACCTCTGTTCCTCTGATTAGGCAATTTACTCCATTTTCACCTTTCTGTCTGCCAAAACATTGAGTGGCAAAATATTTTCTAATTCTCTAGACACATAAAATGTTGTTTTGAAGAAAAGTAAAACAGAATGGATTATCTTTTTAAGCTATCTATCATAATATAATCAGAAAAAAATGAGGAATTTATAGATAATATTGTAAAGAGGCAAAGGCAGCAGATTTTATTTAGATGAGCAGAAGGTCACAGACCTCTGCTGAGGATTGAAAGCTTGAGGTACACGTCTTTGTTCCTCAGTGTATGTGGATCAAAGTGTACTAATATCAGTTAACAACATGTCGGAGGGGACTAACTGGGGCTGCATTTTCACTATGTTTATTATCGCTCAAGGTCAAAAAGTGACTATGTGATGCCTCAATTTTTACGTCTTTGTGTTGTGAATAATTCTTTCCATTACCTTACAAGTTTATTTTGATGCTGTAATGATGAGACAGTGTTTTGAAAAGTTCTAAATAAATAAAAAGATATTCTCTAACTTTTAAATTCTGACTTGGATATTTTAAAGCCTAGCTATGTTGGGGCATTATTATTATTGAATGTAGTCAACAAGTATTTAATGAACTTACTGGCTAAAGATGATACTGATTCAAGAATTCTAGAGCAAATGCAGTTATTGAGAAATTTGTATTTATAGCTTTCATGAAAATTCCCAGAAACTACATTTTATTTCCATTAGGGGTGATTGGGGACATTAGAAAGGACTCTATCTTTCCTCTCATCTTATTTTCTAGGCCTGTATAGGAAGCTACACTCAGAAACACCAAGATATTATAGATTATAGAATCTCTCAGATGTGTTTTCTTCTCTTTTGGTTTAGATGAACTACAGCTAGGGTGTTTATCAAAAACATGATCATAGTTTGATTGTTAAATATAATAGATTTTCCAGTCATTTTTCTTAATAATGCAAATAAAATCCCCTAGCATCATACTGGTTAATCTGACCAGATGCCAACCCTCAGCTCCTAGTAGACATTCCACTGGCTGTGAAGAGTGGACAGTGAAGGAGACAAGGCCAACTTGTCATAGATACAAAACACAAATAATGAGCAAAGATGAAACACAGTTAAGAAATATGACAACGATATGAGAAGGTCACCTTTCCTCGGTAAGAACATTCTAAACTTTTTTACGCAAGCTTGAACCTTTCCAGGAGAGGTGTCTGTAAAAGAAGTGTTGTTTGTGACCCTCATTCATGATGATTCTATACATCAAGAAAATATCTTCAACAATGGAAATGTCATACCTGCTTATGAGCCATGTTTAGTAGAGTTTGTTTTTTGTGCTTTTTTAATTAAGTAATTTGTTCACCTCTAACTTAGCTTTGGATACCATAAATAAAACATTAATATTGTGAAATTTTAAGAAGACTGTTAGAGTAGCAATTTTAATATGTTAAAAATTTAAATATAATATTTGATGTTTTGTTAATGGTTCTTTCAGATGCAATTTTAATAAGAAATAAGATGCAAACATATATTTAAAAATTAATGAACATTTTAAGAGGGTAACTTTTTGGGTTGTAACCATAAATTGCCCACCTATCAATTGCTTCAAGAAAGCAGTAAGTTCTGGTGTTCTACTGCATAGAAGGGTGACTATAATTAACAATAATGTATTGTATATTTTGAAAAAGCTAAAAGAGAAATTTGAACATTTCCACCACAATGAGTGGATAAATATTTGAGGTTATAAATATGCTAATGATACCATTTTGATCATTATGCAATGCATACATGTAAAGAAACATCACTGGGTAATGTCTTAAGAGAAACAGAAAATGGAATAGGCAAACATTTTAAAAGAATTAAAGCAAAATTATTAATGAAGAAATTATAGACATAGAAGATTGGCAAGAAGACATTGGCAATAACACATATTATGAAATTATAGATGCCAAAGGATGGCATTCCTTATTAATCCTGCTTGCTTTTTCATGATTAAATCTGATTACATTTCTTCAACACTAATGAGCTTCACCTTTAACAAACACTTTAATATACACTCAGATGTTGGTGAGAAGAAAACTAAAAAGGAAATTTTAAAAGACTGTAAAATCAGATAAACATGTTGCTATGACAGAATTTAAATACATAGAGACAGACAAACAGAGCATTTGGGATAAGTTTTACCAGGAGTGGCATAAATTTGACACCCTCCACTAAAAATAATATTCACAAAAAAGAACAATCAATATCTACAAAAATATGTTTAAATTCTAAGAAACCAAAATGAATATGTGCCAGCCAAAACACGAAAAGCAATAATTTACTTACTATTAGAAGCTATGCATGAGAAAAGACAGAAAAGAAAAGGGACTCTGAATAGGAAATGAACCCCCAAATTCCAGTTAGCCTGGAAAGTTCAGTGAGTGCATTTCAGGAAAGCAGTGTAAAATAAGATGTGTGAAGGCTTCAATTCAGAAATGAATATAGAAAGATTATAGAAAATTTAATTGTTATGGTTCAGCCTGGGCAAACAAACTGTCACACTAACCAACTGATGCTCTTTTCCACTACCAAGCCCTGCAATGTAGAAATATTGCTGAAACTAGAATCTGACTGAAAAGAATAGGAGTAAGGAAATAAAACATCCAGAAAAGATGGAACAAGAGAGCAAAGCAGGCAGATCTCAAAAAATGCTCATACCAAATTTTTGAAGCCTTCATAATATTAATACTAATAACACAATACTATTGAAGCTATTATTGCCCAGTTTCCTCTATTATTATTGTAGGAAAACCTATCTTGCTAAAATATAAGCAAAATAAAATGACTAAAGTAAAATCTCATCCGCAGTTACAAGGAAGGACATAATAATGATTAGAACAAAATTCCTACAAATAATGGAAAATGAATGTTTCAATATGATCTAACAGGACATAAGAAATATAAGTGGCAAGAGAATCAATCAATTGGACTTAAATAAACATAGATGAGAAAAAAGATGTTTGGAGAAAAGGAATATATCTAAGGTGATCTGACAAAACTTGTAAAAGAATTAAAAATATAAAATCATTTAGGAAATAAACCCCCAAATACAATTCCAAAAAAAGCAAGCAAATACATTGGGTAATGTCTTAAGAGAAATGGAAAATGGAATAAGAAAACATTTTAAAAGAATTAAATCAAAAGTATTAATGAAGAAATGATAGACACAGAAGATTGGCAAGGAGATAAAACATATTATGAAATGATACCACCTGTAAGAAGACAAAGCAATGAGAAAAAACAAATCATAAAATTCAAAAACGTGCAATAAAACGGGTTGAACCTATATATTGAAAGAATGTACAATGTACTTTGGGAAAGCAAGCAATAGGCTAATTTGAAATAAAATCTAGTAAATTCTTTGTGTTTAAAATACAAAAAAAATACTTTTGAAATCAGTCTAAAGTCCAAGTTACTAATAAGAAGTGAAAAGTAAACTATCACATTTTGATGTCATCATTTTTGTTTAAGAATATTGAAAGCCATTTTTAAGATACTCAAAGGAAGAGTAATGTAAGCTAAGAATTTTATATCTACCTAAACTGACCCTCATGTATTAAAAACAGCAAGCTGCTAAAATCATTGAGAAAATAAAGAAATGATGATTTCATGAGAACCACCTTTAAAAATGAATACATTGACCTTCAGAAAATAAAATTGACTGGAGAGCATCTGCATAAATTCAGGTAGTGAGAACTGTGTATGTATATATATATATTAACCTGTAGAATTAAGACTAACTTATGGATATAAGGAAGACAGTATAATATGTAAAGGGCACATATTCTAAAAACATAGCCATGGTATGACTATTTTAAAATGAGGGGAGAAGCAGGCAATATATGGAAAGTAGAATAGGCTCACCTATTATATTACCTTATAGGAATTAACAAGGAGTAAAAGAGCATCATTATCATTTAAATGCCTGAAAGAGAGAAGGATAAGAGGGGTTTCTAGTTAATTTTCATTTTGCTTATAGTAGGTAATCAATACAGAATACTTAAGGGTATCATGTAAAGGCACAGATATAAACTAGTAGTTGGAAGGAAAATGCAGACCTTTCCGAATAAGAAAAAATATATTCCCCTTACCCCCTCAAAGACAGCAAATAAACCACATAGGGAATACACACAGCAGGATGGCATGTGCCCAAACATATCAACAAACCTAAAGGGGTCAAATAGATATGTCATGCAACAGCAAATATACAGAAACTGATATGTATATTTGCTATACTGACATGTAAAGTGTTCTTTGAAACTGTATTAACATACATAAAGAGAGACACTGCATAATGATAAAAGAGTCAATTTATCAAAAAGACATAGCAATCCTAAATGGCTGCACACTAATAACAGAGTTTCAAAACCTAGGGAGAAGAAAAACCAAATAGAACTCAAAAGACAAATGGACAAATCTGAAATTTCCATCATTACTGGGGATTTCAGCACTCCTCTTCCAGTAGTTAACAAAACAAGCAGACAAAAGTTTAGAAAGACTATAGAAGACTTGAACATACTATTGACCAAATTGGCTCAGTCCTCCAGTAGTGGGAATAAAATGAAATATTAAAATAAGACAAAATAAGACAGGTCAAGAGTTGAACAATAAAAAAAAATAGATATGACAAATGAAACAAATAGCAATCTGGTAAAGTGAAACCCAGCTATATCAATAATATAGTAAGGGAAAAATACTCTAAACATAACAGAAATGTTTAAGATTTGAAGATTGGATATAAACCAAGCCTCAATGTGCTGATATATACAAGAAATATTGTCAACATAAAGATATAAACAATTAAACATGTAAGTGTAAAAATCTATATAATACAAACGCTAGTCATAAGAATGTGGCTATATCAGACACAGACAGAGAATATTATAGTAGATATAGAAGAACATTACATATTGATAAAATAAAATGCCAGTTAGATCAAGTTATTGATGGTATTTATCCGACTTTCAATATTCTTCCATATATATATATGTGTATGTGTACACATACACATGTATATATGTACAATATACTTTGGGAAAGTAAATAATAGGCTAATTTGAAATAAGATCTAGTAAATTCCATATATATACACATATATATATATAAGAAAAAATATATAATATAAACACTAACCATATATATTTTCTCATATATATATATATATAAGTTGTGTGTGTGTGTACATGTATATATATGTATATATATATATATATATACAACTTGTGTCGAGTACAGATACTCCTTGACTTATGATGGAATTACATCTAGATTTTAAAAAAAGATACTCTTTGACTTATAATGGGATTACATCCAGATAAAAATCTCTTTATGTTTGATAATACAAAAAATCATAATTTAAAATGTATTTGATATTCTGATGAACAAATTACAGAGTGAAAAAAATCTAATTCAAATCATCATAAGTGAGAGACTTTGTATGGAAATGATTTACAATTCAATAAAGGGACAAACACTAAATAAAATGATGCAAGATTAGAATATACACTGTACAAAAAAGTTACAGGAGTGTCCAACAAGTACATTAAATAATGCTCAAAGTTAATATTTAACAGAGAAATATAAATTAAAATCACAATGAGCTAACGTTTTAAATTCTCTGGAACAGACACAATTCAAAAAATTGACAGTGCCTGGGTAGGTGAGGAGACAGAGGAGCTGAAATATGTTATACATTGCTGTTGGTGGTATAAAAACACTTTAGAAAAAAGTTGGTAACACTTGGCGAGTTAAAAATACTCTTATCATGTGACCTAGCAATTCCTAGTTATCTACTCAAGAGAAATGAACATATGTGTTCATAGAAGCAGGATTATTAATAACACAGTGTAGTCTCAACTTGGAACCATCCAAGTGACCATTAACAAGTGATTAAATGTATAAATTGCTTTACATTCATACAATGGAGTACATCTCTACAATAATAACTACTGATATACTCAACGAATGGGAAGGATTTCATAGACATTGTGGTGAGTGGAAACATCCAGACACAAAAGGTGACATACTTTGTCATTTCATTTAAATGAAATCCTTAAACTGCTGAAACTAAACTACAGTGTGTCATGTTACAAGAACTCTAGTGCCAACATGTAAAGGTTTTCCATTAGCTAAAAATGGGCATCTAGGATAATAACTGCAATAGATTGCAAACACATCAAATATGTTTACATATAAGACTTTCAAATGACAACAAAAATAATTTGTTTATAATTTGGAGAAGGCTAAGGAACAAACTTGTGAATGCTTGTAAACAAAAGAGAAACTATCAAGCACTTATTCTGCCCTTCCTGTATCATTGATACTATATAATCACTAAGAAGAGGTTCCTTTTCATAGAAATGTTATAGCTAATTCATAAAGAAAATGTGATGAAATTAGTGACCATTTTGAAACCACTACAGAAATAATGTATTTTGACACTGAGCATCAATGACTGCTAATATCAACTACAGGCAAACAGAAGACAGCCAGATGTTATATTACTTATGATGGATCTGTGCTCTAACATGTATGAAGTATCCTTGACAAAAAAAATAAATCTCAATCGGCACCACCTCTCTATCTATCAAATTACAGAAAATATCGGTAACAGAGGACACGTTAGATGATACCAGAAGACTGCTATCAGAAAAATTAAACTGTGGAAAACTACAAAAAAATACTGTCTTCCATATGTAGATTGCAAGAATAAAATAATGTTTGGGAGAATTTATAGATTAAAAGAGACTTCAGAGATATTTCTGTCATTTGCAATGTATGAACTTTACTTGGATTATGATTTGAACAAATGCTTTGTTAAAATTCTATGTGGCAGTTAGGACAATCAGGAAATATGAATGGTGGCAGAATATTTGTTCGTTTAAAGAAATGTTTGTGAATTTTAAAATTATTCTAAGTATATTGTAGTTATATTTTTAAAGTGTTCTTAGTTTCTACAAAAATTACTAAAATACTTATAGATATTATGTTATTTTATATTATGTTAGGGATTTGCTTCAGAATAATTTGGTAAGTGGTGTTAGTGTGGTGCTGGTTATAGATGAAACAAGATTTTCTATTAGCTGCCAATTATTATATCTTGGTTAATAGATAGTTTGAGGTCTTTTATACAATTTTCTCTACCACTGTATATATTTGAAATTTTTTATAGTAAATTGATTTTTTTTTTTAAGTAATGTGTCACTCTATTACTGAAGTCAGGCATGGATTTTAGTTGGTGAATCACTGAGCACCATCAAAACAAAGTGGTAGCTGACAACAGCATATACAACAATATAATGCTAAGTGAATGTCCAACAGATACTTGCAGATTTTATTCACTGCTTTCCCTTGACTTTTAAGCAATAACACATTTTGCATCACGTAGTTCTCATATCCGGTTTACCATTCATAGAGATCTGATCTGAATTGTTTAAAAAAATGTATTCTGTCTTTGTTGATATTTCGAAGATCACAGAAGACATAAATGCCCAACTTATTTCTTCTTAGTAATCAGTCTAGTCAGTATGATCATTGCCTTCTTGAAATAAAATTTTATCCATTTTAGTAAGACATTCTGTTCATTCTGACTTAATCGCTTTTTTTTCCTTTATACAATCTTGAAATGTAAGTGTTATCTAAGAGTTTACCCAGGCAATCTTGTTGACTATACCCTGTGAGACAACACAAGCCAAATAAAGAAGTCATTTCAGGAACGTTCAGAAAGGTTAATGTAAAGATTCAACATGACAGAAAGGCTGTATTTGGCTATTTACCTTTGGGCAGGGAGGAGGATGATGGTAGAGATGTAGTGGGTTTTCATTACTGAGACCCAGCAATGATCAGATACTTGGCAAATCATTGCAGAATGAAAGAGTAAAATACAGGATAATTAATAGTGCCATATATTGAGGAGACAGTGAATATAAACATAAAAATCTGTTGTAAATTGTATTTAGATACTCCTCAATTGTTTCAATAAATATATTGCAGTGAATAAAATTAGCATGATTATTTTGAGACTATGGCAAGGTGAAAAGCTGATTACAGTTGTTTGAGGAATGATCAGGAGTTAAGAAGGTCTATTCTGAATAGACTAAAATAACCTAATGGGTCAACTTCTCAACCAAGAAGATGTATTTTCTATAGATATTTATTAAGTTTGCTTATAAGTACCTACACCTAAATCTATTATTATTGTGAAACTTTCAAAAATTCCCTCAGGCAGAAAGGATGTTTTTTCTTTGATCCCTCAGACATAATTGCCTATTGCTATCTAGCTTTATTCTATTTTGTCTTATATGGTATTTACTAACTCATCAAATAAAGATGAATTCTTTGTATGTGTAATATAGTTCTTCAGTACTGTACTAAATGTCCAAGGAAATAAATTTAATCAAAGAAATTTTATACCTGTGAAAAGAACTTCTAATTTTAAGGTCTCCAGAAAGAAGATTCTACAGATTTTCTTAAAGTAAACAAAATAGCTAATGTCTATTTATCTAGCTATCTTGTTTACACTGAGGCCCAATAACAGTTGGCAACTACTTAGTTTAAAAACCTGTGAGGAAGGCTGCTAGTTTCTTACTAACCATCTATCTCGTCTTTTTCAGTAACTGAACCTCTGTGTTATTTTGGATGACAATGGGCCCAGTGGTTAGCAACTACCGCTATAATTTTCTCCTGCATAAATAGGGTTTGCATGGAATTTAAGTAAAATTCTGATACAGCATCTAAGAAAACTCACTTCATTCTTTCCTTCATTGACTGTGGATGTGATGGTTGGAGCTCCAAATACATCTGTAAGGTAAACTTGAGAACAGAAGACAAATGCTAAGGATGGAGGAGGACAGAGATAGAAGGAGATTGAATTTTAGCTTATATTGCAGTTACCATACCTGATCTTGACTACCTACTGTTAAAATTTGTATATATAAGAGAAAAATAGACACTGAGTTTAAGGCATTGCGTTGGCAGGGAGGAAGGGTTTGACTACCCACTAAATGAAATTCCTCTGTAATATGCCTCACATATATTTTAAGATATACTAAATCAATTATATTTTCCTTAGAATTATTACTTCCAGCTCTTTAAACCTTAACTTGATGATTAATTTACTGGCTATTAGCATTTCTAGGACTGTTGCAGAATCTATCCATATTTTCCATTTTGATGATGGCTCTGTAAAAGACATAAAAGTACCAGGAGGCTTTCATGTAGAGAAAAGAAATGTGTAAGATTATATAATGAGAATTTTTTTCTTATTATGATATGGATAGCTAGTTATGTTATGTGCCATTTAGAAATAGAAGAAACATTGCATTATTCTTAAAGACTGAAAGAAAAACTAATGCAACGTTTTTGAAGATAATAACATCAAAAGTAACTATGCAATTTCTCTAAATATACATTAAGTCTTAAAGACTGAAAATGAACAACATGAATTTGCCTCCTGGTTGCAAATCTCATATTTTTTTTCCAAATTGGAGCCAGATGTTTCTAAATATCTGTCCTCACAGAATATTCCCAAAGATTTTTACATGTGTAGTTTCTTTGCTGTAGTTTGAAGTTAATTAGATTTTTTTTATATTGAATGCAATTAAACTACATTCTGGGCATACATAATTCTGACTTTTAGAAAATTAATTCAGTTTAGCCAGTTTATGGAGTAGTTGGCATTTAATACATTTTATAAAATAATCTATTAGAGTTTACAGAAAGCATTAAAGAGTAAATAAAATGTAGATAAGGGGGTTAGGGAAAGAAAAATTTCTATGCACTTGAGATGATAAAAAGTAAACTTAGAAAAGAATCAGCTTTATCAGTAATGCCTGTTCAAAATGATTTGCTTTTTATGGTTCAAAGTTCACTATAAAGGATCTTTGAAGAGTTAACATCTGTTAATGATTTTCATATTTTTAACAAGGATGATGTGGTTCTATTAGTGGTCATGCTATTAGGTTTGTATATTTAAGCATACTTTAATACCCTATTTGAAGATATACCTTGGGCTTCATTTTTTTTCATTTGCAAAGTAATTATCAGAATAATCCTTCTGAACCTGCCTCAACAACCGAGTTTCTGAGAGTATTTTGTTTTTCTCTGGTAGGTACTTCCATGAAACTGTCTTTTATTCTCCTAAAAATATTGGTATAAAGTCTTTGGAAGGAAATGCAAAGAGTGGATAAAATGAGAATTGAAGTTGACAGCTGTGGACCTAAAGGGATTCAGGACTGTCTGCAAACTACAGGAAGGAGGAAGGAGTTCTCCTTACAGAACAGATATAGAGATGAACTTACTGTTTTCTTGCAGTATTTTTTGTTTGTTTGTTTCTAGTCTTCAAAGTTGGAAAAGTTTTCTGTTTTCCCATTGCAAAGAATTGGACTACAAAATTGATGAATTATAAATTAAAGTACATAGTTGTAGTGTTTAGTTTTATTTTTGAGTTGTGCATTTTATAACACAGGTTATTTACTCCAAACTTATTTGCTCAAGTTTCTCAAGTACTGTGCCATGACTTACACATTTACCATGGTCATCCTTAAAATAGGAGAAATTTGAACATCAACATTTATTTTGAGCCACCAACATTTATTTCCTCAAGTGTTGTGCCATGACTTGCACATTTATCACAAGGAAGGGTATGTAGCTGATGCTGCCTTCCTCAGCTTTCAGGCAGCAATCTTCCATTTACCGTTGGCAGCAATGCAGATTGTCAAATGCACACCTGAACTTAAAATTTGGGGATAATTCGGAAAAAATTGTGAGGTGTCTATCTTAAAGATGATGTATTATTTACACTTATATAGACGCAAATTAAACTTGAGAATAATCATTAAACATAAAATAGTTCCTGGGATCTGCTATACTCAATTAAATAAATCCAATTCATTTTTCTCCAGTTCTACATCAGATTGTTGGGGAAGAGTGAGGAATTCTGGATTTGGAGCTTGAGATCCTGGATTCAAGTTCCAACTCTGCAGCTTATTACCTCTACCACTTTTGAGGTACTGCTATGTCTCAGCATAATTCTTATCTAAAAGAGAATGATTGAATAAGTGTATAAATAGCACACTTTCTGTGTTCCCAGTGTTCAAAAGTTCACAAGTATTTTGTTTGTATGTTGCTACTATGAATCAATATTAAGTTTGATGTAACATTAACCTTAACATTTCAAATCACTTTCTGAGTTACACTTTAAGCCTTGGCTCTAAATGCATTATTGTGAAGTAATATCCATGTTCTAATTTTCTCATTAATTAGTATGCCCTTAGCATATGGCACCATATGCTGCAACGTTACAAAAAATTACCATAGCGTAACTTTATTACTGCAAATCATAACATTGACAATGCATGATTTAGTAAGCACAGTGATATTTTTAACAGAACCTTCAAACAATTATTATAGCATATTTATTATGCACTTCATCATAGCCTTGTTTGTAGTCTCAAAGACAGTAACCAATTTAGTTATACCAAAAAACCACATAAGGCATGAAAAATATGGTCAATAATTGCTGTACATATGTACTGTCTATGTGGTATTTAAGAAATGTGTGTATTACTATTTTCATGTAGTCTAGTTAAAATGATGCCCTCTAAAATAAAAGATCACCCCCAATCATAGAAAGAAATAGAATATACTTTCTGAAAATGTTTAATTACAATTTTGTGCATATCCTAGAATTACTTAATATCTATGTAAACATTTTTTATTAAAAATGCATTTGCCTATTAATTTCTTTTCTTGAAATACTCATTAGACTTTTTCTACAAATGTAGGCTTCCATACTCCTGCAGGGGACTGCCACTTTTTATCCTTGCATTTTAGATATAGATGTCTTCTGTTAAAATTAATTGGATATGGTTTCTAATTAGCAAATTGAAAAGTGTGAAGGGACAAGAGTAAACGATGGCATTATACCACTAACCACCTGATATGGTTTGGATGTTTGTCTCCTACAAATCTTATATTTAAATGTGATTTCTAATGTTGGAGGCGGGGCCTGGTGGGAGGTGATTGAATTAAAGGAGCAGAACTCTCATGGATGAAAGCGTATCTCTCATGCATGAAAGCAGATCTCTCATGAACAAAAGCAGATCTCTCATAAATGAAAGCAAATCTCTCATTAATGCACCATCCCCTTGGTGATAAGTCAATTCTTGCTCAGTTAGTTCACAGGAGATCTGTTTGAAAGAGTCTGGGACCTCCCCTGTGTTTCTCTCTTGCGCTCTCTTTGGTCACATGATGGCAGTTACTTTCCTTTACCTTCTTCCACCAAGAGTGAAAGTTCCCCAAGGGCTCACCAGAAGCCAAGAAGATGCTGGTGCCATGCTTCCTGTATAGCCTGCAGAATGTGAGCCTGTTAAACCTCTTTTCTTTATAAATTACCCAGTCTCAGGTATTTATAGCAACTCTAAAAATGACCAAATACCATCTGCCATCTTTTCAACTGGTAAGCTCTTTCAGAGTTTGTTGCTTCAGTTACATGAGCCTGTTCCCCAGGTGTAGTCACTTACATACCTCCTGTGTGTATATATATTATAATTTATCCAGCTTTATATATTTTGCTAGGGTAAAATATTGTTCCTTTGTGTGTTTCTATACCCTAAGGGGAGGTGTGGAACTCCATGTCCATAAACTTTTAATTGAAAAATCCTTAAAGCCAAAGATTCTTTTAAAATAATATTTTTTTTAACAGAAGGAAACAGTCTTAGAAATAATAAAATTTACCTGGTTAATTTTACTTTTGACAGGAATAAAATCCAGTGAGACTCAACAAATTTTCAAGTTACACACCTCAGAATGACAGATTTGGGACCAGAATCTAGATCTCGTGTATCTAATGGTGTTCTTTGAACTGCATCCAAGTATTCTTGTTCAATAAGGAGGAATGTGGAACAAATCAAGTAGGTAGGCATGAATATTTATTATTACCAGAGAGTAAGGGATCCAAAAGTTCTGAGGTGTTATCTCTTTTTGACACTTACTGCCTATTATTGGAACTCATCTTTTGAATAAGGTATGAGAATGGCATTATATTCTCGCTTAAATTTTGGTCCTTTTTTAACAAATTGTTTAGCATTCTCTGCTACACATTGATTTGGTAGAAAACATAAAGGTTCTGCATAATATCAACCAATATTCTATCAGTTATGTTTATGTAAATGTACATGACTAAATTTATATTAAAAATTTAAAAACTAAAAGTAGCTGTGATTATCCTAAAATAGGGCAAATTTGAATATCAATGTTTATTTTAACTAAATGATGATTGGCACAATGACAGACAAATAATCTAATAGAATAGACTACAGGAATAGGTGTACACATGTGCAGTGACTTTATTTATGATAAAGATGTACCTGCAAATTATAGGACAAGAGTGGTTTTTCCCCGTGAATAGTGCTGGGTCTAATGTACATATAAAAACAGAGGAAAATCCTCAATCAGTAGTTGACACACTAGACAAATTTCAATTCCAGGTCAATTCTGTATCTAAATATAAATGATAAATAATAAGGCTTCTTAAAGATAATAACAAATATTTTTATGAATGATTACAATACAGGACATAAACAATACTAACAAAAATATTAGTAATGCTTTCATTAAAATTGAGAATTCCCATTTATCAAAAGATACTATTATTAAGAGAGGAAGAAGTCAAGTGAAATATACCTCCTATATTTCAGTAGGTAAATATATTTTCAATGTATGTAATGGTTAGAAGTTTCATGTTCAATATACATTAAGAGCTCCTCCAAATGAATAAAAATTGGACAGATGGTCCAATAGAAAAATGTATGAGAGAACTAAACAAACTTCGCACAAGAGGATCTCCAAATGGCCAATAAATACATTATAATATGCTTAACTTCATTCCACAGCAAATAAATGAAATCTCAGTACAATAGCCTGCATATCAACCATAATGACTGAAATTAAAAATACTAATAGTACTAAGTACTCATAGTAATGTAGAGCAATCCTATTTCTAATGAGACAATAACTTGTTAAATCTTTCTAAAGCTTAATATGTATGCACTCTATAACCTAAGAATTCCATTCCAAAGTATATTCTCAACAAATGTGTACATATGTGCGCCAAAGGACATGCACAAAAATGTCAGAGAAGCATCATTTTTTATATATTTTTACTGTGGTGAAATAACATTAAATTTACCATGATAACCATTTTTAAGTGTACAGTTCAAAGTATGAACTATATTTAGATTTTTGAGCAACTGATCTCTAAAAATTTTTCATCTGAAACTCCATCCCCATTAAACACTCTTCCATATATCCCTCCCCCGATGCTTGGCAACTACCTTTCTGCTATTTCTATCCCTCTGACTAATTCAAATATTTTGTAGGAGTAGAACCATATAGTATTTGTCTTTTTGTGACTACCTTAATTTGCTTAGCATAATATGATTAAGTTTGGTCCTATTGTGGCATATGATAGGATTTATTTTCTTTATAAGGCCAAGTAATCTATTGTGTGAACATATCACATTTTCTTTGTGTATTCAACTGTTGATGAACATTTGATTTGCTTCCACCTCTTTTGTGAATGATAATGCTATGAATATGGATTTGCAATTATAACTTGGACATCCTGCTTTGAATTCTTTTGGTAAATACCCAGAAGTGGTATTGCCAGATCACATGGAGCTTCTATACTATTCTTTATAGTCACAAAACCATTTTACATTCCGACCAATAGTGCACAAGGGTTTCAGCTTCTCCACATCCTTGCTAATGCTTGTCCTTTCTTTTCATTTATTTATTTTTTGATAGCAGCCATCCTAATAGATGTGACATTATAACCTCATTGTTGTTTTGATTTTGTTTCTCCGACAATTAGTAATGTTAAACATCTTTATATTTATTAACTATTTGTATATCTTTTAGATATTGCTGATTCACATTCTTTGCTCATTTTTAATCAACTTTTATTGTTGTTAAGTTGCAGAAGTTCCTTATAAATTCTGGATATTAATCTCTTATCAGATATATGATTTGCAAATATTTTTTCTTTGTAGATCGCCCTTTTACTCTGTTGACTGTTTCTTTTGATGCACAGAAGTTTTTGAGTTTGATGTGGTCTTGTTTGTCTATGTTTGCTAAAAGCAGCATTATTTTCACTAGCTCCAAGTGGAAACCTCCAAAATGTCTATTGTTAGTGGATGAATAAATAAGGTGTGGCATATTTATATCTTAGAATAATATATGACAAGAAACATGAAATAACTGCTGGTAAATCAATAGTATAAATCTATTCCACAAACATATATTCAGTGAAAGAAACCAGCCAACATCGTATACTGTATGCTTCATTTATTTAAAGTTTAAAAATAGGAAAAATTAATCAAGTCTATTATAATTCACAGAGAAAATACCTTTAGTGACAAAGAAAGGGCATGAGGGAGGCTTCTGGTGTGGCTGCAATACTAGCTATTTTTCTTGACTTTGGTGATAATCATCTTTGTATACTTATTTTGAGATAACGATTTGAACCCTGCTCATATGAATTGAACATATTCTGTGTGTATGCTACGCTTCACTGAAAAATATTAAGAATAAAACTTACCAAGAAATGAAAATTTGAGTATTATTTCCATAGCTTGCTCATAATCTCTGAAGCTCTACTCCTTTCCTTGTTTAATACAATTTTCAATTCAAACAAACTTTGATTTCTCTGTATCTATTTTTACAACCACACCTTATATAAAATTAATCCTATTGTTGATATATATTACTATCAGCCAGTTCACAGGATCACAGATATTTGTAGCACATGGAAGAAAGAAAAATTTGAAACATTCCTAGAAAAAAAATTGTTTAGCTGCATTTATGTCACTTGGAGAAGAATATAATCATTTCTCTACTAAATTACCTACACAGATAATTTAAGGCCTAGAGTGCAATTAAATTAGCTTGGTAGACATTTAATCACAGGAATACAATATACTCGGAGATTTGAGAGTGAGCTGAGAGCCTTATTTGCAGCCTTATTTCTAAAAGTTTCATTAATTTTAAGCCACATTCTGGTGCGTTTGGCTGCCTAGTTGACATTGGGAAAGGAACTGAAGGAAATGGCTTCTATTTATTCTGATCCTTCTATATCTGAAATGGAATTATGATAATATTTTTTTAGTATATTTTATATCTCCAGGCATCTGGAAATGATTTCTCTGAAGCAATATACAGACAAAAATCAAATAGATGATGTTTTTTAAAAATGTTCTATCTCAAATAAATAACCCAAATGAACAGAAGTTTATATAAGGAGCCTAAAGACAACATTTAGGTCATCAACTAATATATGAATAAATTGTGGATACCTATAGCAACTATTTATAAGCAAGATAAATTGTATATTGGTATAAATAGTAATGATATGGATGGAGATTTTAAATTTTTGATGAGTTCAAAGTAAATGGTACTATTCAACTTCTCTCAATAGTTCATGTTTGCTTCTATGGATAATATTTATATTTGCTATTTTTGTGGCAAGTAATATAAATAATTATGAACTTAATATAGTTTGTGCAGTCCCACATTTTGTTGCCTTATTTTTCACTTGAGTTCATTTCATCTGCTAATACATACTTTGTATTTTTCTACGTTTCTATGTTCTTTACTGCAAAAATAACATTTTTGAACAGATAAATATAATGGCACACAATCAAGGTGGAGTATAACAATCTACATATTGATGCTGTATTAGAAACATCTTTTTGTAGAAGTGATAAAGAATATAATTTTCTTGTATGTCTTTTGTAAAGTATCTGTTCATATCCTTTGCCCACTTTTGAATGGGCTTGTTTGTTTTTTTCTTGTAAATCTGTTTTAGTTCTTTGTAAATTCTGGATAGCAGCCCTTTGTCAGATGGGTAAACTGCAAAATTTTTTTCCCATTCTGTTGGTTGGCGATTCACTCTAATGACTGTTTCTTTTGCTGTGCAGAAACTGTGGAGTTTGATTAGGTCCATTTGTCTATTTTGGCTTTTGTTGTCAATGCTTTTGGTGTTTTGGTCATGAAGTCTTTGCCTACACCTATGTCCTGAATGGTTTTGCCTAGATTTTCTTCTAGGGTTTTTATTGTGTTAGGTCTTATGTTTAAGTCTTTAATCCATCTGGAGTTAATTTTAGTGTAAGGTATCAGGAAGGGGTCCAGTTTCTGCTTTCTGCACATGGCTAGCCAGTTTTCCCAACACCATTTATTTAACAAGGAATCCTTTCCCCGTTGATTGTTTTTGTCTGGTTTGTCAAAGATCAGATCGTTGTAGATATGTTGTGTTGCCTCCGAGACCTCTGTTCTGTTCCATTGGTCTACATCTCTGTTTTGGTACCAGTACCATGCTGTTTTGATTACTGTAGCTTTGTAGTATATTTTGAAGTCTGGTAATGTGATGCCTCCCGCTTTGTTCTTTTTGCTTAGAATTGACTTGGCTATTGCGGGCTCTCTTTTGGTTCCATATGAAGTTTAAGGTGATTTTTTTCCATTTCTGTGAAGAAGGTCATAGGTAGCTTGATGAGGATAGCGTTGAATCTGTAAATTACTTTGGGTAGTATGGCCATTTTCACGATATCGATTCTTCCTAACCATGAACATGGAATGTTTCTCCCATCTGTTTGTGTCCTCTCTTATTTCATTGAGCAGTGGCTTGTAGTTCTCCTTGAAGAGGTCCTTTATGTTCCTTGTTAGTTGTATTCCTAGGTATTTTATTCTCTTTGTGGCAATTGTGAATGGAAGTTTGTTCCATGATAGACTGGACAGGGAAAATGTGGCACATATACACCATGGAATATTATGCAACCATAAAAAATGATGAGTTTGTGTCCTTTGTAGGGACATGGATGAACCTGGAAACCATAATTCTCAGCAAACTGACACAAGAGCAGAAGATCAAACACTGCATGTTCTCACTCATAGGCGGGTGTTGAACTATGAGAACACATGGACACAGGGAGGGGAGCACTACACACTGGGGTCAGTTGGGGGGAAATAGGGGAGGGACGGTGGGAGTTGGGAAGAGATAGCAAGGGGAGAGATGCCAGATGTAGGTGATGGGGAGGAAGGCAGCAAATCACACTGCCACGTGTGTACCTATGCAACAATCTTGCATGTTCTTCACATGCACCCAAAACCTAGAATGCAATATAATAAATAAATGGAAAAAAATATATAATTTTCTTAACAAAAATTACAACTGGCTTGATATGTATAATTGTAAATATCTGAGGATATTCATTTATTTAAATATCTGAAGTATTTAACAAATTCTTAAATATGACCCTGAGAATTTTATTAAATAACCTGTATGTTGGCATTGGCATGTGATACACATTTAAATAAAATGTACCTAAATTATTTTGTAAAATCATTTTTTACAAAATCGTAGGACTGCAAATGCATTTAATGATGTTATACTCTACCATTTTACTGAAATGACAGATTTTTTAAACTCATTCATCTAGCATATTGCCAACTGTAAAATACTTGAAAGACAATGATTAAGGAAAAGTAAGATATATATCAGAGGCAATTCTATCAGCTTCCTCCCACTGCAATGCTAATAATAGAGCTTTAGATCAGTGTTTGATTATGTTAGTAAGAATCTGGATAGGCTCTGTGGCTTTAATGTACTACTCATACTACTTGAGGGGATTTTAATTATTGCTTAGGTAAAAATATAATTTTCAAAAGAAGCAAAATCATATCCTTCAGGCAAATATAAAATATAATATTTCATTTAACTCATTTATTATGGGACAGTTAAGGGACCTGTAAGATGTTACTACTGGTTCAAAATGCACTTAAGAATTTAGGGTATTTGTAGTCAATTTATCAAATAAAATTTAGTATAAGATTGCTGAGTTGGATGTAAAACTCTTTAATTTTGAGTAGTTTATCAATTTTGAGGGTCTAGCAGACAAGTCGTTTCCACCTTTATCAGACATAATCTGCAAAATTAGCAAGTAACTAAGTCTGTGACCATTAATAGTAAAATGAAACAGGCACATTCTCCTGGACAATGCTTGCGTAGCTTTTGCCTTTGTATAAAACTGAAAGGATGCATGACTGACCCACATTATTTGCCCTATTACTAAGTTTTCGAAAATTTTCTGTTATAAGGTAGATATGCAGCTTATCTTCATACAATATAGAATTTAAAATGGACAAATAGAGTTTTCTCCGCTTAAGAATATTTGGGCAGAAAAGTTAAAATTATTCCCTAATTCAAGTGACAAGCTGCAGGTTATTAAATACCAAGAAGGAAGAGATGTAGTTTTAAGAGGTGCAGAGAACTGAGGGCATTTATACCTCAAGTGATGCGATGAAATTGACTGTAACTAATAGAATGTGAAACAGTCTCCCAAAGAACATAATGAAGTCCTAAAGAAAACAGTTAAAAGCAGGAGTGGATGGCGGTCTTGAAAATACAAGCAAAGAAAATTGCTGCATTGGAGGTTGATTTTAAGTTGTTACAAAATGTTGCTACATCTAATTTTATTATTTTTATTCATGACTGGCCATGTGTCATCTTAGTGCTGATTTACCTAATTTATATGTACTCCAGAAAACAAAATGGAATCACAGAATCCAATGCTTATTGGATTCTGTAAATACCAATAAGTTACAGCAAGTATTTGCTACTTAGATAGAGTGTTGTCTGGAGACATGCATTATGGGGAAAGTTGCTAAGCTGGTTTCCTTAACTGATCTCAACACTGATTTGGGGCATAATTGATACTTTTGTCATGTGTCTTATTAAACATAATGGATGGCATAATAGTCTTGTGCTGTGGACAATTACTCCTGAGGGTCTTTACTAAGAGCCTAAACTACTTCAAAAACTAACAGAATTAGATATAAATGAGTTTCTGTTATAAACAATATATCTTATATTAATGAAAATAAACTCAGTACATTTAATAAATATAGTGATAATAAATAGGAAGACATTCCTAGGTATTAAATAAAAGCAAATTTTATATTAGAGGTAGACTTATTTGTATTTATTATTAGCATTTCACTAATATTTCCTTAAAAATGATTTCTGTCATATATCAGTATCTTTTAAAAAATAAATTTTATCATCAGACTATTTTTTCATCCTAAAATCTATTTTTAATTAAACCTGTTTATCTCCCAAGCATGGGTTTAATGTATATCAGCTAATTTTTTTTAGAACTACTGAAAACACACATAAAGGTGAATAAATCATTAATACTATCAGTGTTTCTATGGTCAATGAATTTCCCCAGTTTATCTATATTTAATTCTATTTGACCAGTGATGTTGCAATTTTCTAGTAATTTCAGAAAAGTTGGTCTTGTTTCCATGTTTGATTTAGTAATTAAGCTTGTATTGTTAATATGACTATATACGTGTAGTCTTTTAAATTTATGTGGTATTGAAGTACATTTTTTGGAAGTTGAGTTTTGTATTTGTTTCTTTTTTATATAACTAATGCTCTTTTTTTATTATACTTTCAGTTCTAGGGTACGTGTGCAGAACGTGTAGGTTTGTTACCTAGGTATACACGTCCCATGGTGGTTTGCTCCACCCAACAACCTGTCATCTACATCAAGTATTTCTACTAATGCTATCCCTCCCCTATCCCCCCACCGTGTGCTACTACTCTTTTTTTTTTTTTTAATTTTGCTTCATCTTTTTTAAATTATACTTTAAGTTCTGGGGTACATGTGCAGAACGTGCAGGTTTGTTTTTGTTACATAGGTATACATGTCCCATGGTGGTTTGCTGCATCCATCCCCCTGTCATCTACATTAGGTATTTCTCCTAATGTTATCCCTTCCCCATTCCCCCAACCCCTGCTGTCCTGCCCCTGGTCCCCCATGCTCCACTATTACTCTTTATAAAAATTGTGATAGTCATGTTCATAAAAGTTTTATCAATGGCATCTGAAAGCAAACATACTTTGTAATTATTTTAAAAGGCCTTTTAATATTATAGGCACAAAGGTCTGTGCCTATAAGCGATGCTCCACTGTGTATTATAACATTAAGGCTAATTTTGAATACAAAGAGTTATGAGTGGAGTCATGAACTACTGGACTTAATACACATCATTTTTTTTTTTTTTTTTTTTTTTTTTTTTTTT